ATTCGTTTCAATTTCCTTCGGATCACTCGCTAGTTTTGTCAACGAGTAATTGCAGCTTTAACAAAAAAAATGGCAATATCCAAACTTTCCAAAGTGGCAAATATTTGCCAACTTCCGCAAAGCACAGTGTTTTAACTTGTAAAGTAAAAATTACTGACAGAGAATTTAAATTCCGCATACTATACAATTGTGTACATACGTGAAAGTTTCTGCTTACGTTGAGGCATTAATTTTCCTACATAGAAATGTATTTTATAGCTACATTCAAAATGGCCAACGACGATTCACATCGGCTTACTGCCGATGCATATGAATAAAATCGAAAGAAATAGGTATGTATGTATGTATATTCAACCATGCGGATGTATGAGCGTGTGTGTAAGCCGAAGCCGGCAAAACACCATTGCCAAGGGAACTGAAGCGCTAGAGGATGAAAGACAGCGTAGATTTGTGCCAGGTAGCAACTACGTTGCTGTTGCTATACACATAGCAGACAACTTTTGTTAGTATCCGGCAACACTGCACATTGTTGTTGTTTACACAAAAAACATACATACATACATATATAAAAATAAAATAAAATAATTACATATGTTTACATAAAAATAAAATACAAGGCAGGTATGTGCATAAGTGAAGAACTAAGTAAAACAGGCAAAGCAAGTGTGATGATAAATTAGATGCGAGGGATCAAGCGCGGAGTACAAAGCGAATGCTTGATGTGTGGAAAGTGGAAAGCAGGAGGACGCAGAAAGAAACTACCCCCGTGATTATGGTTGTATTGTAGTTTGTCGTATAAGTAAGTTTTGCTTTTGTTGTTATCGCATGCGGAAATTGTACGATGTGTGAATTGAAAAGTGCGCTGGTAGGCTGGTGTGTTTGTAGATATGTACGTATGTGTGTATATGTATGAAAGTACATTTTTAATGAATAACCCTGTTTCTGACTAGCGGTCGCTTGGTAAAAATAAGGGACGTTCCATAATAAGCACAGCTAAGTTTGGAAATTATATTTTGTTAAAAGGGTTCCCAGCACAGCAATCTACAGGCTCGCAAGAAGCCTTTCAAAACTGACAAAAGCGGCTGATGTTCGATAACCGGTGGCGATTGTACATATGTATGTGATGACCTACATACCCAGATCTCCAATTTTCCATTACCGTTGAAATCTAAATTTTTGCTAACCGGTAAACGGCACGCTTGGCAACTCTACAATTGAGTGAAATTACTTTGTACATACTAGCAAATGCAGCACTACTAACAAAGAACTCTATTAGCGAGCTACTAAATACAATACACGCTTTTGCGCCAGCCTGTAGCCGTGATAGCCATTCAGTGGATAAGCAAAGTCGCTCAAGTGAGAATGTGTCGTTTTTGAGTGCGCATCGCACGGCGTAGTGGCAATATATATGTATATAGAAAATATCTGCAAGTAAATTTGCTGCTGCAGCAAAATTGTATATCAACAAGAATTGCTTAAGGCAAAAACCAAAAAGCAAATAGAATTGGAAATAAAAGAAAAAGCAGAAATGTAAGCATTTCAACAGAAAGTGTTGAATATACATTAATAAATACTGAGAAGAAATAATAGACAAACAAGTTAATTTCAACAACCGTGCAAATGAAATCGAAAATATTTCGTGTCGCGGCGCATTGAAGAAAAAGTTCGGAGCGAGAGAAAAAACGAAACGAAAACTTTTTGCTTTGCGCTAGTGACAGAGAACTTATAATAATACATAATTGTACTTATAATAATAATTATAGTATGTTCTCTGTTAGTGATTTGGTGAAAGAAATTCACTTGCGCCTGCTGCTGCTGCTTTCACCACTGCCGCCCCCCGACTCCCCTATCTATTCCAGCAGCGCTTTAACGCACAACAACACCTTTTATGCCAATTTATTTAAATGTGTATGTACATACATATATATATATATATATATATATGTATGTGTATGTATGCACATATGTACATAAATAAATGATATACATAAATGTGTACTACAATGGCAAACGCATCTGCCCTGTGAACGCCAGCTGTCAATGAAGCGCCCACAAGCCGCTCAGCGCTCAGCAATATTGGCTCATTGTGCTCGAGTGCGCTCAATAGATGTACGAGTGGTTTTGATTGTTTTTTTTTTTCTTTAATTTGGGGTATTTCATGGTTTTTTATTTTATTTACATTTTTTTTTTCGAAATACTACATACATACATACATACATATGTACATACAGACAAACGCACATGCATATTAGAACTTGGCAGTGGTTCGCTTAATGATGCGCGACGTGCACACATACTTAAATATGTACATAAATAAATAAAATTATTGGAATTTCAAATAAAATCTGGTATGAAAAAGATTAAATTTTGATTGTGGCAATAAAAAAATGTGTGGGGCGGCTGCTGGAAACACAAAAGCAAAAATACAATAAATAAATTGTGGTTTCAGTGGAAATATCAGTACAAATATAACGACAGTGTGCGGAATATCTATGTATGTACATATGTATATTTGTGGTATTTTATTTATTTTTTAACAGCATAGTGTAACGTTTATGTGATACGCGCAAATTTTTTATTTATGTATGTATGTATTCTTTCTTTTCTCTTTAATTTTTTCTTCGCTACTCACCCAAATAAAATATAGTAACAATAGCTTGGACTTAGTAGGGGGATTTACATACATATGTATGCATGTATGTATGTAGCGCGCCGCACGTAACTAAATGGAGGCGTGTTGCTCTAGTCAGCGCTTATCATAATCCATAAACCATAAATACCAGGGGGGGCGCTGGAAAAGAAATGAAAAGGTTTACTTGCATTTAAAACTAAGAGCAAGTGGTATAAAACAAAAAAAAAAAAATTTGGTATGTATGTACTGCGCCCCTCAAATCATATTTGAATATGGTGTGGCTACTTCTCAACGGCAAAGAGATAATCTATAGATATCAAAAAAAAAAAAAAAATATTCGAACCAGAAAATGAGTGTTGATATGCAGAAATGTAGGTGTGTGCAAAATAATATTAACAAACTGGTTTTAAATGCTTAAATCGGGTGAAACGGTTAAAATCGGGCGAATCGGTTAATATATTTCTGCATTGAAGTGTGAATTGAGAAAAACAGCGGCACATGTTGTAAGCCGAGTGGAAATTGAGCAAACGGTTAAAATCGGTTGAAACGGTTAATGTTTTTTTTTGTTTTGAGTTAACGCTAAAACTAAGAAACGCCTTCTTAATCTTATTTGGCACTGCAACCGTTTGTTGCTTTGGGCCGAGACCAAAAAGCCTTGCTAGTTACCTCTGTCCTTCGCGGATTTGCGCCAGTTGTTCAAGTACGGACACGTCCTTTTGGACTTGGTCTTTCCATTGTGATCGTGAGCGCCCTTGCTTTCTCCACCCATGCGTGCTGAGTCGAAGGATCTTTTCATGTCCATTTCGTAAAAAAGCTTGTACAGTTCGTCATTCCATCTTATTCGGTACTCGTCACCCATGCAAACAGGCCCGTAGATCTTGCATTGAACAGTTCTCTCGAAAGCCCCCAAAACCTTGTCATCTTTGTTCGACATCGCCCCTGTTTCTGCGGTACATAAAAAGACGGACAGGACGAGAGGCTTGTAGAACGTGGTTCTTATTCGTCGAAAGAGGGCTGTGCCTGCCGAGCACAAAGTAGCACCTGTTTGCAAGAGTTGTTCGTCGCTTATCTCCGGGCTGACCTTAGGTAGACAAAGTTCTTCACTACCTCTTCGAACAAGGAGCACTACAAACTCCTCCATAACCCTTTTTACGATCTGGAAGAAGGAGGTCGGAATACAGCCTGGAATCCACGCCGATGGCGTATCATATCCGAGTGCGAATAATCATTAAATACTCAGAGCTACTTTCGATAGTCTGTTCTCCTGCTAGGCGGATACAACTGCAACAAGGTCCTCAAGTCGCTAGCCGGCAGCACCTGGGTCAGAGGCAAAGAAACGTTGCTGGCAACATACAAGGCAGGGCAGCGACCGTGTGGTCGCCGGGGACTAGCAGGACGCAAAGGACGAAACTACAGACTTGCCAAAATACGGCTCTAAGGACACCCACAAGATGTCTTCTGATGTCGCCACAACATCGCCTACACGAGGGAGCAAAAATGCTCCCTGTCAGGGAGCATAACACAATTCTATGTAAGCAATTCCTTGTAGGGTGCCACAGACGTTGGCACCCGAAAAGACAACTGCTTGCCGAAGAGCCCTCGCCTACGCACGTCAGAACAAACTAACGGACGAAGTACAGAGGTTCATAAAACCACCTTTGGACCCGACGGCGTAGTCACCGGCAATAAACACCCATTCCCGACCTGTGTGTGCCGTCCTTGGAACAGAGCAACCTGACGTGGGCGAGACAGAGCTCGTCTGCCTCGGCAGACTCGCACCACCGTAGCCCAACTTCGCTAAACTCCTACCTGAGTCACCTCATGACTAGAAACACCTCCTAAACCCACTGAACTAAAGAGGGGCGCTCCTGGGTCTTGCGTTAGATGACCTCGACTACATACGCCAGTAGCTGTATGTTGTGCCGCTTCTTTTAAATCGAAAACCAGCACATAAAAAGAAACTCGTATTTTGTTTAATACAATTTATTAAAAAATTTATTTTTAAATCAAATTATAATGTGTATTAAAACTAAAACAACCTTCACTTTGCTAACGATAATCTAAACTATATTTTATATATATTTCATTTACGTAATTTATTAGTTAAAATCTACATATGTACTTGTTTTTTGAATATATGTATTTTTCTCAACGATAGCTCAAAACATCGACTACCTCCCGATATGGACCAGACAGATTCCAAAGAGGAATATAGCAGTCGTTGTTAGAGTGGCATCCGATGCATACTTTGGCTATACTTTAACTCCAGCTGGAATACGCATGCAAAATAATTTTTAACTAACAGCCACAAATTGCAAATAACTGCATCAGCAGTGGAGATTTTTTCTCTAATTTTTGGCGTAAATAAATTCAGCGGATCGAACTCTCACCCAGATGTCCTTATTTCGGCAATTTTTTTGGTTCTACCTCAAACTCATGGATACGCGCGCTCATCATCTTCGTACTCACCTGGGCGCTGCTCGTTTACGTTTTTGTCAATAAGCTGAGTGCGCAACCGAATTCGGACGCGGATACGATAACAGCCAAACGCATCAATCAGGCGCTGCAGCTGCTCGAATACTCGAAGCAACGCAATGAGGAGCTGCGTCAGATGATCGAGAAGTTGTCGAGGTAAGTGTAAAATGAGTAAAATGAGAACGAGAAAGAAAACGGTACCAACTGAAATATATCGATAATTTGAATTTTAACCATATCGAGGAATACATCGGTAACGATTACAATCGATATGCATATCGATAACGTTAGCGATGAGTACGGATATCGAGAAATATTTCAATAAATTTATCGATAATAATTATCGATAAATGTATGGCCATAAATTTAGATAAAACACACACACGTATATAGTTTTCGCAATTCTGGTTAAATTTAACCAACGCAACCCTAATGCTCGAAAGTGCTAACAACAATTGCTTTAGGGGCAACTAAAGATGCGACAATTCAATGTTCGCGCCGCTGGAGCCATGCCACAATGTCTTGCCGTGCCAAATGGCAAACTGAATGCAATCGCCAGTCGCACGCGCGCCTATTGTGGGTGCATTAAGCAGCGCTCTACCGCTGCCCTCTGTCCTACTCCGCCCAGCTCATTCAGCTGCGTGTACAACCAAACAATGCCGGGTTTCCGCCACTACTCGACGCTTGCGGTGGCGCTTTTGTCATTTTAGGGACCGCATGCACTCACTCGAATATGGGCTTGAGTAAAAGCGAGGGATTACAAGCGATCAAAGTGTGATTGTGGCGTGAAATGTGCGATGATTAGTGTACTGACGCTTAGCGGTCGATGCGCGGCCAGCGGCGTGACGACTTCTACAAAAAAAAATCTGCTGTGGACACTTTACAAATACATATATGTACATACACAATGTGTATATTTTAATGTTTTTACGCTTTGAATGAACAGTTAATTGCGCGTTCAACCATTTGAAAAGAAATTAGCACACATACATACCATACACATTCATACTACATAAATACACAGAAATATGCAGCTCGTATTTAATTTCTTATTTTCGTTTAATTTTTCTTCACCCTTCTCATAGTGACCAAATCGACAAGCAGTCGGCGCAGCGTCTCATCGAAAAGCTCGAATTCAATTTGCAAAACTCCATAAACATACAGAACCAAGATGCCGCATTGGCTGACTTCATGGGCGCCGGCGACGGTGACGGCGTTGATGCGGACACTTTCGGCGGCATGCCGGCTCCAAATGCGGGCGCTCAACGTGCTGCTGGCAGCGCGCACGAGCCCAGCCTGGAGTACGAGCTGCTACGTCGCCGTATACAGTCGAACATAGGCGAGATTTGGAACTACTTTAGCAGTGAGTTGGGTAAGCTGAGCAAGCGCGCCGCGCCAACGCAGGCCGAATTAACGCAGGACATCAATGAAGTGCTGCAACTGGGCGCCGAACACAAGCGCTCACTGTTAAGTGACATGGAGCGGCTGCGGCAGGTGGATGGTTACGAGGCGTGGCGTCAGAAAGAGGCGCGCGATTTGAGTGATTTGATGCAGCGGCGGCTGCACTACCTGCAAAACCCGAAGGACTGTGCCAACGCGCGCAAGCTGGTGTGCAAACTGAATAAGGTGAGTGCCGCAGGGGAAATGCCTTTTGTTGTTTTATTTTGGCGATAAATCTAAACGCGTTCCCCTTGCAGGGCTGCGGCTACGGCTGCCAGTTGCACCATGTCGTCTACTGCTTCATAGTGGCCTACGCGACGGAGCGCACAATGATCTTGAAGTCGCGGGGCTGGCGCTACCATAAAGGCGGCTGGGAGGAGGTTTTCCTGCCGGTGTCCGAGACTTGTCTGGAGGCGGACGCCGCGCACGCCAGCAACTGGCCTGGGCGGCATGATATGCCGGTGCTGGTGTTGCCGATCATTGACTCGCTAATGCCGCGTCCGCCCTTCCTGCCGCTAGCTATACCCGAGGACTTGGCGCCGCGACTCAAGCGTCTGCACGGCGATCCGATTGTGTGGTGGATCGGACAGTTTTTGAAGTACTTGCTGCGTCCGCAAAGAGGCACGCTGGAGTTCCTCGATGCAGGTCGTGCGAAATTGGGTTGGAAGAAGCCCATTGTCGGGTAGGCGAAATTGCATTAAAAATAAGACACGAAATTCCAATTAACTTTCCTAACTTTTTCACTTGCTAGCGTTCACGTGCGTCGCACCGACAAAGTTGGAACCGAAGCGGCCTTCCATCGCATAGAGGAGTACATGACACACGTCGAGGACTACTTCCTAACCTTGGAGATGAACGCCACTACAGTGCCGCGACGCATATTCCTCGCTTCCGATGATGCGCGCGTCATCGAGGAGGCACGCAACAAGTATCCCCAGTACGAGATCATCGGCGACCCGGAGGTGGCACGCATGGCCGCCGTCTCGACGCGCTACACCGATACCGCGCTCAACGGCATCATACTCGACATACATCTGCTCTCTCTCTCCGACTACCTGGTGTGCACGTTTAGCTCGCAGGTCTGCCGCATGGCCTACGAAATAATGCAAACGCTGTACCCGGATGCGGCGCATCGCTTCAAATCGCTGGACGATATCTACTACTACGGTGGGCAGAATTCGCACAATCGACAAGTGGTCATGGGCCATCCGGCGCGCAATCACGACGAGATCCACATGAAGCCAGGCGACCTGGTGAGCGTGGCCGGCAACCATTGGGACGGTTATTCGAAGGGCAAGAATACGCGCACAAATCAAGTGGGACTCTTCCCCTCGTTCAAGGTGGTTGACAAGGTGGAAACCGTCAAGTTGCCACTCTACGAGCAGGTGCAGGAGGGGCGGGTGTGAACGCGAGCGGAGCGCGTTGCGCGCACAATGCTCTGAGCTGAGTTGTGCGACACTAGCGCGTTAAGAAAATATTTATCATGCAGTTAGGCATTTTGTATGTATGATTTTTTTTTGTTTTTAATTTAGATTTGTAAAAATTATTATTTTAGTGCTGTGCAATACTACTCTGCTAGATGCTAGATTTTAGTCAATAACTATAGACGCAACATGAAAATTACGTATAATATATTTTTATATGATTTTTTGCGCGGCGATTTTGATTTTTCACTTTTTCGACCGCTAGAGCTGCACAAAACCTCTTACAACTAAATTTTTGTATCGTATTTTGATTGAAAATCGTTTTTTTTTTTAATTTATTTTTGATTGCGTATAAAATCGAATAAGATATAGCTATGAGTTAGGTAACTATAAGTACATTAAAGTAAGTAAACACCAAAATGAACGAAATTTGTAAAATATAACGGTTATTGATAACATAAAACTTACATATATAAAAATACTATACAACAAAAAGAGCATGAACAGAGCAGAAATAATAAAGGCACTCGAAACAGCTGCACAAGATCTTGAAATAGGTTTTTGTTTAAGTATATATGTTACAGCTGCTAAAAGCTTGTAGCGTTTTACGGCAAAGCCAACTTACCTCACTACTACTGGCTTCATAAATCTGTTTAAACAATTTTTTTTTACTGCACTACAAAGTGCATTGCCACGACTTTTCCCTGATTCAGCTGTGGTGTAACTTAAAAACTAAAAAATATGTAAGTAGTATGAGCTTTTCCCAAGCAATATTCCAGTGTAGAATGAAGCATTTTGAAATAAAAATAAGTGTGATTATATACCACGTCATGTTTTGTTAGAATAAAAAGTAATTAAGCTATATATTAAAAAAATAGTGTTAATAAATAATGTGGACGGCACTGAAAATAAAATTATAGTTTTATTGAAAAATTTTCACGCCACAATGTGCCTGAAAAGTCCGCATCAATTTCGCAGCCAGATTTTAATTTCTTCATGAGGCACATTGTGTTGTTGGGCGTGTAAAATAGTCTGAACAAAAATATCTAGTATACAAATGTAAACATATTGCTGAGACCAGATGTATGATTGCAATATGTAAACAATGAGTAAAATTAAAAATAAAATCAAATGTAAAAACATGGGCATATCGCAATTCGAACATTTTTTGTATTGGGTGGAATGTGTTTTAATACAGTTAATTGTATTTTTTGTAATGTATATTTTTTAATAACACTGGATCACAAATTTTAATTTTGTTTTTGTTCTCCAGACGCCACTATCCAATTTGTATCTAGAATCGCTCGCTGATGCCAAAAAATCGAGTTGATTTATGGCTACTTTTTCGAGGTATTTGCAATTTACCGTTATTCAGCTTAAAAAAAGTGTGGTTCCACTATATCGAAAAGCTATACATAGAACGAAAAAATTATTTCGATTTTCGGAATCACCGAGCAATTCTACATAGGAATTGGATAGTGACATTAATAGAACATTTTTGCTGTAAACCAGTGTAATTCTCATACGACTTTCGAAAAATATCATTAAATTTATAAAATTGTTCTTTTATATTGAATTCAATAAAATTTGATTAAATTAAATTATTTCTTTTCGTTGATGCACTAGCATTTAGGTACATACACTAGTTCGATACAATTTATATTTCGCATTGTCCAACACTGTCTGCACAACCCACCCACACCCACCTGTTGAACGAACACATTCACGTTTGACAGTTCTGCGTTGTCCTTTCATTCGATCGCAAGCGTCGGGCACGCGCTTTTTTAGTTTTTTTTTTGTCGCAAATTTCAGGTGAAGAGTGCGTTTTTCGTTAGTAAATAATATTAAAAATAAATTAAAAGTAAGCCAGTTACCAAGTGCATTAACGCGTTCGATAAAATCCACGTGCGAATGTTGAAAAAAGAAGAATGGTGAAGGTGCAGGTGCGTGTGGAAGCGTCGGTTTGTTGTTATTGTATCGGCATACACCATTATACAAAATGTTTGTTTGGGAATGCTGTTGAAGTGTTAAGGCTCTGTTATGCATACTTGGCATTGCATGCACTGCTATACCATTTTTAAGTAGAAATCAAAAACCAACAGACTTTTACGTATGTAATGCTGTGCGTTGGGTAACCGCTTACACGCGAAGCTCATTTAACAGATTCCTTATGTGACAACTCTCAAGCAATGCCAAGTATGCATAACAGAGCCTTTAGTCCTTGGCTATAAATAAATGTGTGCCGTTCCGGTAGCGTAGATTCGCCTGCCGCGGGAACGAGTGCGTCGTATAGCGGAAATCAGGAACGCGAATAGTGCTTTAAAACGATAATGTCGGTGCTAGCGAAACTTAAGGCAATAAAAAGAAAAATCTAAAATAATCAGTAACTTTGCATAGTGGCTGGTGTGATTGCTGATAGGTAAGCAACAATAGTTCTATATTTTTACGTACTAGTTAATGATAGTTCGTAGCAATTTTACTTAAGGTGCTAGCTAGAAAGTCCTTTTTGCAGATTTGCACAAATTACTTTCGGAAATAAAAATTGCAAGGTGTAACTGCAACTGAAATTATGCAAATCCCTTTTGAGAAATAATTTCAACTTGCTCGTGCTTCACTTAGGAATGTTCGATATTTAAGAAAGTATCGATATCATGAATCGATGTAATTCATTGCATGTAAAATCGATATGGCGATATATCGGGCTGAACAATATCGATATCGGAAAAATCGATGTTGAAAATCCTACTTCCAATTGAATAGAATATTAGACCTGCTTATCAACTCAACTAATTGTGTTACTTCCATCTTGTATATTTACTGAGGATAAAAACGGCATGCCGGTCGACTCAAGCGGTTTGTCAATCTTAAGAGCTAAATAAATCACACAAGCTATTGATTAAACCTACTTTAGTATTTTTCCATGCACTTCTTTGAAGATGAAAAATAAATGTCAACTTAAATATCGATATTGCGGCTATGGTATCGATGTCTTCGGTATATCGACCTTGGAATATCGATTCAAAAAATCGATTATCGTGCGATGAAATATCGATATTCAGAAAAATCGATCCGATATCGAACATTCCTAGCTGCACTAGCAATTTTAAGTTTTGCTGCAAGTGCTGTTAAAACAATCAAGTGTTGCCGTGTGTTGAATAAAATATGAAAAATATATGTAATAAATTTATTCTACTCTGATATGGAGCATTTAAGTATTAATGTATTATATATTTTGTGACTGTTTTGTGCACATTTTAGCAGGTTTAGCAAATTTTTCTGGTCATTAATTTTGTTATAAGCATAAAAATGTCTGGTAACATAGTTGAAAGTGGGCTTGTCTGCATTTACAGTGTAACCAGACAAAAAGTGGTATCGGAAAATTTGATTTTCAGAAATAAAAAGTGCGTTCGAAAGTCACTTTACGTGCAAGCTGTAACTGCTCCTGCATTCTCTTTTGGAGATTCTTGAGTTTGACAACCTTTGGAAAGAGCTTGTACTTGCCATGTCTAACAGCTACTTTACACAAAAACTTGCAAGAAATTTGTAAAGCTGGCAAAATTGAGAAAGCAACATTTTTAGGGGAAGGTGCACTGGCTACATTTTTACTTGCAAGTTGCAACAATTTGTCAGTAAGAACAGCTCTTTACATGCTGTTTCTAGCATTTACACAAGAAAAGTAATACATTTGTAGAATTAAGGGTCGCTTCCAGATCTCAAGAAAAACGAAAAATTCACATAAAATGACGCACAAGAAATGGAATGATATTTACGTACAATTTCTTAAATCAATTTGCAGCTCTCAAGAAAAAGTGTCACTCCACGACCCGAGACATCTCTTAGCATGCCCTTAAACCCCACAACTACAAAAATGTAGTTGCCAAAATAGCAACTCAGTTACCAGCTTTCCGTTGCCAGATGCCATCTATAATACCATATCAAAAAGCTCTAGAGACTCTGTCTTTATCGGATTCAGTTTAGTTTAATCTAAGGTTGATTTGGTGTCCATTGGTATTGGCATGATTATCTGTGGAAAGGAGAGGTGGGCTATTTAAACCTCATCCAGCTTCCAGTTCTTATCTTTTTAAATTTTCCCTGTATTCCTAAATATGAATGACTAGATTCAACTGCAATGCTTCTTCTATTTTTATTTAAAACTTTAATTGAACTGGTGCGCTAAAGAAAAAGAATCTACTGTGCATAAATACGTATGTATGTAATTCACTGCTGTGTTTCGTCAAAACTATATCCTTGCTGGCTAATAAAAAAGATGGCAATACAGCCATGAGATTTGATATATTTCACTCGAAACGCTCTTTGAGGCCCATCTCATTGATAAAGCTGTAAAAGAAAATTTCGCAATCTGAAAGAATCAGCATTTCGTAATCTTACTCACTCGAACGAAAGTAGCAAAATTGACCGGCACCAATTTACCTGCCAACAGCTCCATGTGCAGCTTCTGGGTGTGCTGCATGAAAACCACTAACAACTTGCGAAACTCCTCATCCTGTTCCGGCCAGCATGCATGAAATATTACATTAGCCAGATTGTTGCTGTCGGATAGATTTCCATAATGATAACGGCGATCACGAAACAACTTGAGCCAATATGCGATGGATTGTCCACAGCAAAGAAGAATAAGTTGAGCAAAGTACAACCTAAAATAATGGCGGTGACTATGAATTGCAGAAAGGGAGTAATTGAAATGATTGGCACCACGATGTCGAGAGACTGCAATACAAAGAAAAACCACATTTCTCAACTGTATTGATTCGCCTAGTTTTGATAATACTCACTTTAGCAGAAGCTTATGATCCCTAATGCACATTTTCAATTCATCGTAGTTCTGCGCCAAAGTACATTCCGGATCGGCACCCAAATTTTGAATGCGTATGAGCAAAATTTTCATGTGTGCTCTGATTATGCAGATATTGATGGGTGCATAGCCATCGGTTAAAGCTTCGAGCGCACTCAGGCCGGACATGAGGAAATACTCCCAAAATCCTACAATGATGAATTCCAAATTCGAGTGACGCCAATTCAACACTGCGTTGTATGGTACGCGACCCTGCACCGCAGCGCCAATGAAGGTGCTAGTATTGACAATTACAAATGCATCGTGCCTTGGCGTCTCACCTTGCGCAGCTCCTCAATTTCCTCATCAGGGCAACAACGTGCATCCAATTTGTCCATGATCTCTTCTGCTATTCGCAGCTTGCAGAGGGGTGAGAAAGTTGCCGATTTTCTGCGCCGAGAAGGCGAGCTGTATGAAGGAAATGGTGAACGCAAATGGCAGCCAGAAGCCAATCAGAAAGCACGGTAGGATGGAGTAGAGATGGAAAAGGGGTTAAAGCGCTCAGACATTAGCATGGCGAAGGGTCGAAGAGAGCCAAAAAGGTAGCGTGTCGCGCCTCCTGTCCTGAAACAACTTTAAGCACATTTTCCGGGCTGCCGCCTTTTTTAAGTTCTTGCGGATTAGTTGCTGATGAAATCATTGCGATTCGCCTCTCATTTTCTGGATAGTCCACTCCAGTAATCGGCACTAAGTTGGAGCTCTTACTAAGTAGTTTTTGGAATTTCCATTTTAGCACATTGCCCATTGTGAATGTCGGCCGTATGGTTAGTCCAATGTTATATGAGTAACAGATGCGCCGACTTTTTATATGATGATTTAATTATTAATTCTGTTTTCGCGTCAGTTTTTTCAAAACCCGCTCAGCCAAGTAATTAGTTTTGCAAAAATTAAATACTCCCTTTCTTATTTAAAGCTACTCAAAGCAAAGGAGCAAAAGTGTGAAACTTTTCATTTGCAGGGGAAAGTTGTTTAGTCATTCTACTCTACAAAAGCAACTACATTCGGTGCCAGTATTTTGAAATACAAGTATCTATGTGTCTTCTGAAAACTGTCTACTTGATTCTCCTCTGCGCAGCTTTACAACCCCTCAAAGCGCTCCTTCACACCCATGTTGTTAATAAAACTGTAGAGCGTAAATGAAAATTTAGCGATCTGCAAGAGAAGTTCATAAGTGACGTCTGTAATGGAAACACCCTTCCTATAAGCCACTCCTACCCACCCTGACAAAAGTGGTCAAATTGATAGGAATTAGCTTCCCAGCCAGCAGCTCCATAGGTTTCTGGGTGTGTTGTGTGAAGATCACCAACATTTTGCGAAAATCCTCATTTTGATCTACCCAGCGGCCATGAAAAATGGTATTAGCCAGACTATTACTATCGTCCAGCAGGCTTTGGCCATAATAGCACAGAGGGTAGACCTCCATGAGCAAGGCAACAACATAACACAAGTGGCCGATGCGCGCAGAGTTGTCCACCGCAAAGATCATTATATTGAGTAAAGTGCAACCAACCATCAGCGAAGTGGTCATGAACTGTAGAAAATAGGTGGTGGAGATAATCGGATGCACGATGTCGAACAGCCTGTAAGAAGAAGAGGCGCCCATTAGAACACTATTCTATGAAAGTAAGCCAACCACTTCCACTCACTTCAGCAGCGATTTGTGATCCCTTATGCACATCTTAAGGTCTTCATAGTTCTCTTCCCGAGAGCGTTCCGGATTAGAGCCAAGTTTCTGTAAGCGCATGAGCAGCGTCTTCATGTGCGCCCGAATTATACAAACATAAATCGGAGCATACGAGTCGGTTATAGCCTCCTCGGCACACAATCCATCCATGAGTATAAATTCCCAGAGCGCAGCCCATACGAATTGCCATTTTGATTTGCGCCAATCCACTACCGGATTGTAAATATCGTAGGGCGGCCGTCCTTTCAGTGTTGCGCCCAAAAAAGTGCTTGTCGAATAGATTAAATTGCAAATTAAAATATAAACCAGTAAACGATTGCCCTGGCGTACGACTTTGCGTAATACTTCGATCTCGTCCTCATCCTTACAGCGCGCGTCCAACTCAGACATTATAGCTTCGCCAGCGCGCAATTTAGGCAGCTTGAATGCCATTACACATAGTTTGATGGCGCCGACAAACGATGCAATGCTTACCTGCACCGAAGTCAGCAAGTTGCCGATCTTGATGGTCGAGTAGTCCAGCTTGAAATAGGATAGCACGAAAGCGGCGGGTAGGTAGAAGGTTATGAGTCCGAGGGGAAGAAGCGCATAAAGGCAATAGAGGAATTTATATTTTTCTGGCATTAGTACACCAAGTGCCATAAAGGAGCGAAAGAGATACGTGAGCCCATCCTTCGAATGGATGTCGTGTACGGCACCGTAAGGACGCACTTCATGTTCTTCTTGCGCCGAAGATTCTCTTTTGCTGACAGGAGTGCGCGTAGCCCTCTCGAATTGAAGGCGTATCAGTTGAGCGTTGCTTAAAACTGGCTCGGCAGGTGGTTGCACCTCGGCAACAATGACCTCGTCGGGGCGAAGGCCTTGAAAAACCAGCTTCCTTAGCTGGCGAGGTAAAAAGTTGGCCATGTTGACTAAATCCTGTAAATAGCAAACTAAAGCATGAAGTTAAGAAAATACTGAATTTATCAGATAACCTAGTGCCCAATATTAATTTTAAGATCCCGCCCTACTGGAAAGAAACCATTTAATCGAAGTTTGGCCCACAATTTTTATTGTTTAGAATTAAGAAGATTTTCATGAAGAGACTACTGCTGCTTGCCATTACTCCAGCCCCATTCGCTCCCTGATGCCCATTTTCTTGATCAGCGTATACAATGAGAATGAGAATTTCGCAATCTGTGTAGAGACAGGGTTTTAATTATACATACATATCAAACCTCAACATTCTCGCATACTCACACTCAGAAAGCTGCCCAATGTTATGGGAAATATCTTGCCGGCATTAAGTTCCATCACGTGCTGAGTGCGCTGCATGAAGAAAACCATCATTTTCCTAAAACGCACGTCCTGTTCTATCCAATTTGCGTGAAAGATCTGCTGCGATAGGCGTTCGCTATCGTCCATGAGACACTGCGCGTAGTAGCAAAGCGGAAAGATCTCTACCACCACGGCCAGTATATAGAAACAGGAGGCGATTTGTGTTGAGAACTGATCGGCGAAAACGAAGATATTGATAAGCGTAGCGCTGAGTATGGTGGCGGTTATCATAAATTGGATGAAGATCGTCACAGAAATTATAGGCGCAATGATGTTGTAGAGTCTGCAAGGGCGGGAGGTTACGAATGCATCCAGAGTGGCAAACAAACTTACCCCAGTAGATTCTTGTGATCCACAATGCATAGTTTCAGTTCTTCCAAATTCTGCTCCGCATTCAGTTCTGCATTCGTGGCCAACTTCCTTAAGCGTATCAATAAAATGTTCATATGCGTGCGTAGTATACACACATAGATGACCGCATAAGAGTCGTCTACCACTTGCTGAAAGCAAGCCACGTCCATGAGTGCGAACTCAATCAGCGACGCTACTATGAACTCTAGTTTCGATTTGCGCCAATCGAGGAACGGATTGTACAACGCATAGGGTGGACGGCCAAAGAACACCGAGCC